AGAAAAAGAAGTACGGAAATTACGGAAATATTTAATCCAGTATTGAAGAAAATAAAAAAAAAATTTCATACTGCCTAAATTGCATTCCAACATGATTTGCTCATGGACTTCAGCCTTTAAAATTTTTAATAAAAATGTAAAATTCCGAATGCTTTAAGACAGACATTTGATAAAATCTAATGCCGTTTTATGTATACTGTGTATAGTCGATTTTCTAAAATGTGGAAGAAAATGAAATTTGTTCCTCTTTGCAAATATACAAAGCTCTTCATTTGGAGCACACACAAATAAAACATGAAGCGAATGGAGTGGCGTTTAGGTGAGCTGCCTTGGAGGGAAAGTGGTCCTTTGAGCGCTCAATTTGAAGTGCTGTGCTGATTGCAGGGCGTAATGCAGTTATTTGTCATTACTGCTTAAATACGTTTGAAAGCTGCCCCCATTTGTGCTCCGAGCAGGCTATTAACCCAATTCTCCGGCAGCACAAAGCCACATCCAGCTCTCTAGAGCCACTTAGGCATTATGTGCAATAAAAATGTTATTTATAAAAGACAGAGCACATTCACACATACACACACAGAGATACATAAATGTATATGTACATATGTGTGCATAGATACTCGAGATTAAGTATGTTAGAGAGTTTGGAGCGCAGCTAGACAAAAACCTTCGATACTAATTTGTGAATAGCTTTGAATATGTTCAGATAAATGTGTATATAATAAAAGGTGGTCTTTGTGAGCTATTAGCCAGCCACCCACACGTGCGGCAATTAGCACCTGGCGTGCGCAGAGCTGTTTTATTGGCTTCATCTTAGAGCACAAAGTTTGGGAATTGTCCATTTGGCAAATAAATACAATCAGTCTATGTCTGACCTATCTATATATGTATGTACATGTATACTTACATATACATATATAAATAAGCGAACGAGATGAGAGTCAATCAGGCTCGACTGGCGCTTGTTTGTTTATGTTCAATGCATGCGAAAGATTTTAATTGGATTTTGATATGAGAGACGCTCGCCGACTGCCAGCCGCCTGCTGCTAATCGCCTGCCCGCCCGCCGATTTCCACATATACATCCATATATACATCTATATAGGTTTTTTTTTTTTTGGCATTTACAGAATATATTTTTAGTATGTGGTCTAACATTGAAAATGTATGTGTGTGTGTGTGTGTGTGTATGTGTGTGATTACTTTGTGTTTGTGGCATCTAATTTTGTCCATAGTTTGGCTACCAGCTGTTGTCGCGGCCTATGGTGCGTATGCGTATTGCGTTTGCTAATGAACACGGCAATTGTTGTTGCCATTGTTATTGCTCTTGTTGTT